CGTGACTACTGTCTGCAACCACCAGTCAGAGAAGAACAGACACAGAGGAGGGAAACAGAGACACAGACAGAGGTACAGTAAAAGAAAAAAAGTCAATAAGCAGGGTTTGTACATTTTATTATCAGCTGAGCTGTGATGAAAAGAAAAATACCGTCAAATACAGTGAAACCGGTGAAAATGTTGAAAATACCGTGATATAAAATTTTGATCATATCGCCCAGCTCTAGCTGTAAGTATAATTATATACAGGTTATGAATGTACAGGATATGAATTGAATGTATGTCATTGAATGAAGTCCCGTTGAGATCTCAGATCTCTTTTTCAAGGGAGGCCTGGGCCTGAAGGCAACCTATTGTGCATGTTTCTCACTAAAAAAAAATCACTGATGAAACTAACAGAAACTAATATTAAATTCAATTTTCTACTGAATGGCTTTAAAAAAAAGGAATGAAGTTCACTGAAGCTTACAAAATTTACAGAAGAGGAAACAAAATTACAGACTACTGACGCTGTAAAATCGCTACCAACCATCTGCATCCAGGTCGTATCAGTTTATTCTTTGTGCCTTCCGCTGGCTTCACAAAATAACTGCTGTCAACCCCTCTGATGCTTACATTTATAAAAGTTTATGAAATTTATATAGAGTCAACAAATAAAATAAAAAAAACAAGGTGGACCGAAGATTAACAGGGCATCGTTAAGACGCCCCGACGCCCCTCTAGCTAAATGCTTGTTGATGAGTTGCTGACGATGGCTGCAGTTGCAGGCGGCTGCGTGTGTTTCATGTAAAAAAWATATATATAAATAAATAAATAAATAATCAACAAACTTTCATTCTGTTGTAAATCTTCTGAGCTAATAATGACAGCATCTTTCAGAGAACTGTTGTCAGCGACCTCAAGTAGTGGAGGAAAAATAACTTGACAAAAACGAGGAGGAAAAGAAGAAAAGAAGTAAAATACGGTTTAGCACGAACGCTAATATTAAAGCGTGACRAAAAGAGAAACTAAGCTCGACACGTGCAACACGTTAGGTTTGTTTATTGGTAAAACGCAAATCACGTTTGCGTGTGATAGAAGGAAATGTTCTCAGGTCCCAGCACAATAAAAGCAAGCAATAAAAGAATAACTTTCTAATAGACAAAAACACACGCGCAAAAAGTAGGTAAGATCGGTGCAAGTTCATCTCATCACGATCTACATCGCAGAGTTAGAAAAAAAAATCTAAATGTCAGTTTAACATCATGCAGCCCTAATAAAAATAATAAAATTAATTTTTAAGGTTACAATATCATTTTCTATGATCAGAATCTGAAGTTATTACCCTTAACCTTTGTGGGTCCTAATAGTAAAATATTTAATAACATTAGGAAAAGCACTTTCTCATTGTGCCAGACCCCTGAGAGCAAAAGAAGATTTTTTTTAAATCATGGGACAAGAAGAGCTGCAAAAACAAAAGCAGTGAAAGGCAAGTCTTATCTCCTTTCAAAAACAAAGTCCTTATCTGATCCACACTGGACTGTAACTGAATCGGCTCTGGAAAATGTAAAGGAGTCAGTTTCCTGTTTCTCCCGGTGTCCCTCCCTCCACACGACTCCTGGCAGATAAGAAGGCTGAATGATTCTGCTTACAGATGCACAAAAACAGCTGGCAACAATTACAAGCTTGAGTCAGCCTCTTCTAACAACCAAATTAATAATTTCCTCTGGATGGTATTTGGCCAAAAAAAAAAAGTAAATCTTGAACTGAATTAAGATATTAAAGTCAAGGCAGTAATTTCTTTGACCAACCTTTGATGCATGAGAGGTCTTCGTCTTCTTGGGGTCTGAGAAGGCAGAGAGGGGGATGGTGGGGAGCATTGGGTAGTCCGGGCTGGGCCTCGACACAGCTTCAGCCCCCTCAGGGACCACCAGTATCTGAAATCAAAGACATGTGAGTTACAGTGTTCCTCTGCTGATACTCAAAACCGCTCGCAGGCTTCGTGTTTGAATGCAAAATGGAAATTGGAGGCTTCCARATCCAAAAGGAGGAAGTTGTTCTGGATTCAGTTTTTTTAGGGCTGTGATGTATCAGTCCCTGTTGGATTTTGTGGCCATGTTTTTTCCTGAAAATTGCAATGATTTGAAGCTTTAGTTCCTTTTCTTTACCATGTAAAGTACAAAAAAAATTACTAAATTTATGTCAACATCAAACCTCAAATATAATAAATAAAATCAATGACTCTGCTGAGTTTGATGATTTACAGGTAACTTGTTGCACATTTATGTTGTCAGCTATTAATGACATAATAAACTTTTATCACCATGATGGGACCCCTCTGATTTAAGAAGACACTTCTTCCCAGCAGAAAAGGCTGTTTTCTCTATTTAAAAAAGGAAAACTCCTCTTTTATCAACACTTCTAGCTAGCTGATTGAAAAGCGACGTTCCCGATCACCTGGGCTTGTTTTACCGTTAAAAAAAACAAACAAAAAAAAAAACACTCGTCAAGCAGTGATTTTTGTCTATATTCAAACTCAGTGTTGCACCTGGTGATAGGCTTCTCATAAAATTGGACTTATGTGGATTTTAGCGGGAATATCTGAACTGGTGTCAGACATGTTTAAATTTTGCAAACTCAGATTCCAAATCGTGAAAACTGGCAGGAGACCAAGATGATTGGTCAAACTGGGAAATAAAACGCTACTTTCTGGAAGTTTTGGTTAGTCAAACTGACAATGTGATCRTGTTCCAGGTAGCCTCACCCCTCCAGCTTTGATGAGCTTTCTCCTAAATTCTTTGGTGGGGTTGTTGAAGGTGAGCTTCTCACAGCGCAGGTGGTTAACAGGTGGGTTGCCCTCCAAATTAAGAAACAGGTCGTAGTTGAAACAGACTTTCTTTGGCTCCTCCTGGCAAAAAAAATAAATTAAAAAAGGGAAATCAGATTCAAGTTTAAACAAACTTTATGTGCAACACGACTTGGTGTTTGTATTTCTACGCGGCTGCTCTCAATACCTGTACATTTCACAACAGACAAAAGCAACGAATGAATCAACTATCAACCTGATAAGAAACATTCCTGAGAGAAACTGTTGTGGCAGCAGGAAAAAGACACTCGTGAAAAGAATTCATAAACTACATGTTTTTGTGTGATGATGGACTGGTGATATGCACCTTTAAGTGCCGTCTTGATCCTCCTGACAGATCTGTCTGTTGTAAATAAGCTAAGTGCTCTTAAAAGGACAAAAGGGCCAGTTCTGGATGCGGTCCAAAGTGGATAATGTGCACTGTTGCTCAAGAATGTTTTAAAGGATTATGACGCCGAGTCCTTTAAAGCAAAATATAATGAGAGTCAAACCGCAGCAAGTCAGAAAGAAGGTACTGTACACTCAATATTCATGTTAATATCAGGTATTTAAAACAATAAAATAAAAAACCGCAACTTTCAGATACGAAAAAAGGCCTGAGAGCAGTGTGCTTTTTGAATAACTTTCAGATGTAGGTATAGAAATGCAAAGTCTCTCTTTAATTTTGATTATTTTTTATAATTTTTTTAATTTGTTTTTGAACAAAGCTTCTTCAGGCTTTTTAAAGCTCTCTCAAATATTTTTAGTTTTGTTTTCACTTGAGTTGCTTTTTAATTTATGTTCAGTCCCGTATCTGAAGTTATTTAAAAGAATGTTGTTGTTTTATTTTTATGTAATTATGATCCAAGTCATGGGCATTAATGGCTCCAAAAACTCTGAATGAACCAGAGTGGTGTTGACACAGTCTGTATTAGACACCAATATCAATTTTAACACTTTGTTCACAAAACATATTTTTTCCATATATATTTAATGCAAAGATCAAGATAACCAAGTTTGACAGGTGAATCATAAGGACGTGTTAGCTGAAACTTGGATATCTTGGTATTACAAAGAGCTCAGCAGACAAATCACAGGATTGTAACTTTCTGATCTGGATCCACAAGAACAAGTTTTTGTAAAAGTTAACCAAAATGTTGGTTTCATCCTAAAGGAATGTCCAAAGACCACAGTTTAGTAATTCAAAGTTGTTGAAAAAGTCACATAACAGGGCTCTCTCGCAAATGCGACCTGATTTCCTAGTAGTGCGACTAAAAAAATTGCCCTGTCGCACTGGTGCGACCAATCATTCGAGGTGGAGGGGGAGCGGTCGCCCGCCGAAACAAAAAGTTTCCACGTTCCATAAAAAAATAATCCAGCCGTATCAATGGTCGCCCGCCAACAGTCTCATCTCTCCTAATAACACTGCGCTCTGCTCGCGGGCTCCGCTCCACACCTCCCGCGCACACATGTTTGTTGTTCTATCCTCATGGGGACTTTGCATTGGCTTCCATTCATTTCCCTGTCAATTCTATAGCCAACCATAACCTCCCAGGTAGGCTACACACCTGACCAAACCCTAACCTCACCAGGCTGTGTGTACTGGGGAAATGGTCAATAATTATACCCACCATGAAGCAAAAATCTCTACACACACACGCGCGCATAGCGGAACAACCGTAGATTATCTTTTTTTTTAACCCAGATCGGAGTCTGAAAAACAGTTCTTTCTTGTTAGCTGGAAATGAAAACAAGATGTGGACGAYTGCTCGCTCGTCCATCTTGTTAATTTAACAGTCGGGGTCTGAGCGCTGCAGATCATTTCAGCAGGACGAGGAAGCTCACSWGTATGGCAGGCCGCTTTTGCACTTAATCGACTTCACCACAGTTACATTCCAAGTATCTGAAATTAGTTCTTCTGGGTCTCAGGAGGATAAAACTAGACATATTAGATATTTAAGTGAAATAATATAAGATGATAAGATTAAACTAATGCTGAAACTGCAGACTTTTATGTGTTATTATTTTTTTTAAAAATCGGCACAACCTTTTAATAAATATCAGTAATATTTCTGTTGTTATTAATCATTATTCTCTGTTCATCGTTCTGGTTTATCTAAGGCCAAATATCCAGAGGGTCAAACTACAGGAGTTGTACATCTGAGGGGCAGGTGTCTAAAAGAAATTTAACCATGAAATGTTTATGATGTTTATAAGATGTTCAGCCCTTAAGCATTTGCACTTAGAATTTTATAGAATCACTTTAAATACTTTCCAGTAAATTATAGGTCTTGTACAATTCTGGTTCAAATAAAGAACTTCATGTTTACTAGATTGTTAACTAATTATCTTCGAGTTAATGTTGCCTTAATGAATTGTGATTAAAAATATAACCTGTAAAAACTTTGATGTTAAATGCGACGTGGTTGAAAATTTGGGTGCACCTAACTTTTGTGCTGGTGCGCCTAAGAAAAAATGTTAGGCGCACCGGTGCAACCAGTGCAAAAAGTTAAGTCTAGAGCCCTGCTTAAGTTTCAGGATTCTTATTTATTCCTTCCTTTAGCCTGTAGGGTCACAACAAACATAAAAAAACACACTCGTCATGTTCATGTACAATTCCACAAATAAAAAAACTGATGTTCTCACCCTGTTTTTGAAGTACACTTCAATAGGCATGAGGAAGCCTGCGTAGCCCGATTCTTCTACTTTGTACGGAGGTTCCTTGCATACTGCAGAAAAGACAAATCAAAGGTAATACTTGAACTAATATTATACTCTATAAACTGTCTTTTAACAGCATAATCATCTATTAAAGCAATGCTTTTTTTTAAAGACAAAAACAGGAAAGAAATATTCTCTAAGGCAATAAATATTGGTAGAAAAATGTCGTGTAACATGGGATCTTTTACAATTAACAACTTTAGAAAACTGTCCAGTGAGAAGGACTGCTCTCACAATCATCTTTGCTGCCAMAGGAGGAAGACCTCAACCTTTCTGAGGCGTCTCTCTTCAGTCATCTGGCTTGATTTTTGGCATTTTTCACACACAAGCATCCTCATTACTAACTACACTACACTGACCCCCCCATGTCTTAAGGTTGTCTTATGTCCATGCCTTCTTGATGTAATTTGTTGAGCAAAGTTGTGACACTTGCATCACTCTGTTTTTAGTTTGATCTGATGACATTTAATCTTATAATTCAGTCAAAAACATCAACTTCTGGGAAACAGAATTAAGTTAAACGTGTTTAAGCCATAAAAAAATGATGTGTTTTACTATTATGACTTTATTAGGATCTTTTCTCACAGGCTCAAYTCGGTCTTACTCGAGTCGACTCGCCAGGGATTCAGAGTCTTTTCATTTTTCCTCAAATAGCAGCTAAAAGAGTTTCAGATTCAATCTGTTCTCGCTCTGTTCATATTTATCGTCACTCTGCCCTACCTCTCTTGGGTTTGGGGAAGCTCTCGTGCAGGCGGAAGACGACCTTATCTATAAAGTGCTGGATGTCGCCGGTCTCAGGCCCTCGGACAAACACCATCCAGTCGTGTGTGAAGCCTTCTGATGTTACCTTCTTCTTCAGCTGAGCCCTGTGACCCAACTCCAACTTCACCTGCACCGTGCACTGAAAACAAACAAATAAATATAGAACGGTTAAACTAAACTCTGTATATTGTTCCAATCAGCATGTATACATGAGAAAATGAGAAATAATATTTTCAGCACAAGGTAGACAAGAAAGAAATGTTGCAATGCAATGCAATATATTTATAT